TATGGAGCAGCAGGCCGACCGTAAGGACAATGGTATGTAATCAGGCAGCCTCTGCCGTCAAGGAGGGTGTTTTAGTCAGGGCACCAGAAACAAATGTGATAACCAGGAATAGACAACTATAAATTGTGATCGGTAGAAAAGGCCAGAGTTTGAGCTGGAGAATAAGAGGAATGGAGGGGGTGGGAATGGATGTGTGTTTGGGGATAGATACAGACAGATGGTCAAGGAGGCCTTTTAAAGAGATGCCAGTTAGGGCCTCCCCTGGTGGCGCAGGCGATTGAGCGCCGTGCTGTGAAGCTGTCCTGCAGCCTCTGCAGCGCTGGTTCGATCCCGGCCAGCCAGCGAGAGTGCCAGATGGTGCAGCAGACCTCTCCTGTCTTGCCTGCTGCTCCCCTCAGCAGTGTATTTCGTCAGTCTGCCTGTTCTGTTCCCCACTCTGTCTCTCGTGAATCCTCTCACCCTCCCGCAAATCTGGCCTCTACCCAGGTTCTTGTATAAATAAATAAATCTTTAAAGAAAAAAAAAAAGAGATGCCAGTTAAATTGAGACTGAAAGGATGAGAAGAGACATGGGAACAAAGAGAAGAGAGAAGCACAGCTGGGCAGAGGGGCCTGCGTGTGCAGAGCAGGGCTGCTGGACAAGCTGCAGGAAGTCTGTGGGGCTGCAGTGCAGTTGCAGCAGAGGGAGTGGGATGCAAAGCTGGTAGAGAAGGAGGCAGATCAGGCTGGGCTTTGTGGCCTGGAGACAGGTGATTATTTAGTCCAAGGATATGGGAAAACTGCTGAGGGACTTAAAAGTGGGATCTTGAGTGCTTCCACCAGCTCCTCTTCCTTTTTGTGTTTCCTCCTTCCTGGGTTTCTGCAGCATCTTTCATTTTACAGGAGGGTTTTCACGGCGTGCTTTCAGGTGGCCACAAAGCTGTCGATGTTCTTGGAGGAAACACCATAGCTTTGAGGGCAGAGAGCCAGTAGCACCCCTTGGAATAGGCTGATTGCCCCCCCTCTTTGGCCGTCCCCCTCCTTGATCATCCATTGCTGGGCTACCGCACCACATTCCCAGTAACCTGCTGTTGGAGAGTCTGCTGTTTTCCATTGCATTTTAAAAATAAGTAATTAACATACAGCCTGTGCATGGACATGACAAAATGCAAAGCCAACAGCAGAGTCTGGGAGGTTCCAGGGTGTTGTGGCAGCTGAGAGGTTCTTGGTGCTCAGCCCTCCTGAGAGGAGCCCATTGCTATTCTGTTACCCACACAGCTTTGGAGGTAAGAATGGCCAGGGTGCAGGACATTTTTAAAAGCAACAATAGAAATGTTTTTTAGTCTGAGGTAAAGAACAGGTCAAATACCTGAGCCCCGGCCCTCCCCCAAAAGGCTGTAATCCTGACCTGACAAACATTGAAGAGCAAATGAGCACATTCTCACCACTTCAGTGTTCCTCTCAAACACGTGAATTTAAGCCAGCTGAGTTTGGATTCTGTTCAGTTTGTGCTTTTGCCAAGAGTTTTGTGGGTGTAAAGTTTAAAAATAGTTATGTACACATGGGATGTCTGTAGGGAAATGTGGGTAAATGCTGGGTTGGAAAAGGTTCTGTGATCAAGTGCCCTCAATGTTTAGCCCCAAATGTTTGTAAAAATGAGAAACATTTTAGAGATCAGAGTGACAACTGCATCTTGCTCTTGTTCCAAACTAGGGCACATCTGGATACAAATTGGGTGTGGAGAGAGTGCCTCAGCAACACACAGTGTGTGAGAGCTGGGGGGAGGAGACTGAAGGCCAGAAAAAAAAAATTTAGAGGCTAGGGCGTGACAGGGAGAACAAATTTCATATAGACAGACTAGAAAAGTCAGTAGAAACCAAAATCTATGATCCTTTGGGGCTTATGTATAGGGACTTGCTGGGGAGCCACCTTGTGAGTTTTCTCCCAGCAGTTTCTCCCTCTCAACACTCTAGGACATTTAAGTGGCTTCATCATGAGCTGGGCAGCCTGTTGGGGTCAGGTGCCTGGACTCAGGGATCTGAAGGTGGGGATTTATCACGAAAGGAGCACCAGTGAGGTGAGCCAAGCAGCTGTGCCTCAGGCAGACACGTACTTGCACACTCATTTGTTTAACTTTTATTTTGGACTGTGGACTGGTCTACAATTTGCCAGGATGAATAAACCTTGTACCTAAACATCTACAAGATTAAGGTGACAGGGTCTGTCCGAGTCAAGGACAAGCAAATGCTTGCACTTTATAGTGGCGGGGCTGCGCTTCCAGCAGCCATCACCTGACAGTCTGCTGAGGGAAGCAGTGTATGCACTGGGCCTGGGTGGATGGCAGGACCTTGATGTAGAGAATTGGACTAGCCTGAGCTTCAGCATGCAGGTGGAGAGCATAACGTATTTTTAGTGAAGAGTTATTTCCTGTTTGAGGTACCCAGCTCTGAGGCCACTGCTGGCATATCCCTGGGACCCAGTGGCTGCTTGTTTCATGATTGCTCACAAGCAAATCTGCTCAGAGCAAAGAAGAAAGCAGCACCCAGGTGCATTCCTATCAGTTCTTGGGAATCTCAGTGGAGGGTAGGGTGAGAGGATTAATAATTTACCAAAGGACCTGAAGATTCTTAGTGGGGGGTGGAGACAGAGGGGGTGAGATTAGGGAATTGGGCCTGGCTTTGAAACTGCAGAGCATGGATGAGGACGCAGGAGTTCTAGCAGCACTGCCATTCACCCACGTGGACTAGAAGGATGGGTAGGAACCCCTGGCTTCCCCTTAGGTGCTGGCCTCACCACCTCTTCTCTGCTTGTCATGGTCTAGATTTGGCCTCAAGAGACCAGAGGCCAACCTCTAGGCTTTAAGTCAAGGACAAAATTTCCCTTTACCCACAGTGCAGCTGAAGATGTCTCAGGAGGTGCATCCAAAATATGTGGCTGTATCATCTCCAGGTGTTGTACATTCCACCCTTTGATCAAAAAAGCTATCAACTGGAACCTAATTAGTGACCTTAAAAAGAAAGTCTCTTGTCAAAGTCCACTTATGAGGAAGTGCTGACAAAAACCTCTTCTCTGTTGCGGAATGGTGATGACTGGCACCTTAAATTGCAATGAAATAAGACAATGTCACCAGATTCTTTAATCATGAATAAGAATTACTAAGCTACTCATGTTTCTCTTTTTGCTTTGGCTTCTAGGAAATTCATCCACAGCAATTACATTTTTCTTTATGATTGGCATATTTAGACTCTTAGTCCTGGTTTTCTACTTCTACTTGCATTGTCTACTGTCATTGTAATTTCAGCTGCTTCAGTACTTCTTGTAGGAATAAAACAATGAACTGCAGAGTATAGTAGTAAGGCTTGATATTTATGCAGGTGGGCTCATTTTTATGAAAAGGGCAGTTGCTGACCCTGCTGGGGACAGTGGCCACCAGGTGGCACCAAAGCTTTCTCACAGCCACCTTTAGTGATGCGATTTGGCTTAAAGTATTTTTGTTTCTGCCACCATTTCTTGGACTGAGCGACACACATTTGCATTGGTTTCAGTCCAGAATGCTCTGAGTTTAGTAGACAAAGATGACCTAAGGGGGCCTCGCTGGCTTGTTTCAGATGCTCAGCTTTACAGATCAGTGTTTTAAATGGGAATGGACAACTCCCAACCAGACCGTGTGTGTGTGTGTGTGTGTGTGTGTGCATGTGTGTGCATGTGCTTGTGTGTGCGCACGTCCAAGAGGCCTCTGTTTCTCCATTCCGTCAACTGGTGGTAGAACACTCATCACAAACAAAAAGTTTTGGGGCCACTGGGAAAGGGCCTTTTCACCTCTGCCAAATGTTCTGGTGACTTCTGCCTAAAATGAATATATTGCTCCTAATTGTAAGCTCATCAGTGGACAGTAGTTAATCACTATCTCTAATATAGAAATTGAGTGTAAAAAGCACGCACCCACACAACATGCCAACACAAATATGCCAACATTACCTTTCATGTTTGCCATGTTCATTCACTCAGAGAAACTGTCACTTAAAAGACCCATTTAAGTGAACTTTTAAGCCCAAGAGTAGGAAAAAGCCTTCAGTAGAAGCTGGAAGAATGTAATTACCTAAAAATCTTTAAATGCAGGTTCTTGACCCCCTCATGAATCTATTTGTTATAATTGTGACAAAAGATGTTTCCTTTGAAAATCATGTTGATTTCTCCTGTTATTTTCTCAAGCTTTTGTGGTATCTGATCAATTATATTTCCAGAGAATTACAGAGATTCAGAGTCCTACAACTCATAGAGGAGCATTTGTGTCTGGACTAGGCACAGGGGGCAGTGAGGCCTGGGCAGAGAGCAGGTGACTGTGTAGTCACTTCCACTGCTTTCTTGAAACTGAGACTTGGGGCTATGGACCAGATCTGATAATCCATGTGGTTCTGAGGACCACAGAGAGAGAGGCACTCCTCAGTTTTATGCATTTAAAATTGTCTTGTAGGAATCTTATGAGTCTACTCAGGTGCCTCCCACCTGTTGGAGAATTGATCATCTGATTTACTTGGGGTTTTCTACAGTCCCATGAGCCCTCCCACCATCACAAGTCTATTTACCTCCATGGGTGACCCAGCTGGGGCAACCTATGATGACTTCAGTGGGATTTAGCAGATTAATTATGTCTTTAAAGCAGATACCAGGTGGCGTTCAAGGTAGGCCATGGTGGTACTGCGAGCAGTAATTTGGGGGACTCTTATTTGGAAAATAAGGGATGGAATGTTAGATATTAACTAGTCCAGGCACTTACTAATATGATCCCTCGGGCAATTCTGGGAGGAGGGGGAAGGGGTGCATGGCCAGGGAGACCCCATTTGGTTTCATATAATGACAGAAAGCCAGAGCTACAAATCTAAATTTCCCCCACCACAATTTAGTCCAGGAGAGAAATAATTTATGGGACAACTTCAATGTTTTTTAATTGAACAAATTTATTGAGCACCTAAAGTATACCAGCATCTTTTACAATAATCATCAAGATTCAGAATCCACCCAGTGGGTGTCAGGATCACCCCTCCCCTCCTCCCCACCCCCAGGGTGAGGAAAATGCAGTGTATGATAGCCAGAAACAGAAGCTAGTAAGCCAGGGTTTTGTCAATAGTGTCGCTCTGACACACCTCACAGAGCACATGGCATGGCGTATGGGGGGGCACCTGAATGTGGTCTGTAGGGAACTTCCTTTTCCTTCTCCCCTGTGTTTTGGGGGCATCTTGCATTTTCTGTTAACATCCTTTGGGGACCTTCTGCTTGGTAAACTAGACTGGACTTGGCGGGGGTCAGGAGGGTGGTGGATCACTGAAAAAGGGTGCCACCAGAGAGCATTACAGTCAGGTTCTAAAGCAAACCTAGGGGTGCATGCGGGTGCACTAAGCTAAGGGCACTGATCAAGGATGAAGACAGGAAGGGCTGTTGCTTGGCAGTTAGTCCCCTCATTTATGTCTCATTGGCTTGTGATACTCATGAGTTTAACCACTGTCCTTCGGATACTGCATCATCACCTCTTTATTAGTTTTCTCTTAGCATGTTGCTTTTCATCATGTCCTGACTGTGAGTCACATCTGTCAGGTGTGGGCAGCCTAATGGCTTTCTAGGAGTCCTCTGTTCAGAAAGAAGCTCCTCACTGTTCTGAGCCCCATGGTCCTGCAGTCACTGTGGAGCCCATTATCTTGGCCTGCTGACTTAGATCCTTTGTTGTTGACTGGAATCTTGAGTCAACCTCAGTCTATTACAAAGCTTGGCAAACTATTACCCTTGGGCCAAATCTGGCCCTCTTTCTGTTCTTGTAAATAAAGTTTTATTTGAACTCAGCCACAACCATTCATTTACATAACTCCCATGACTGCTTTCCCACTGAAATGTTAGAGCTTAGTAGTTGTGACACAGACGGTATGGCTGGTAGAACCTATAATATGTATTACCTAGCCTTTTTCAGTAAAAGTTGCTTACTCGCTCTAGGTTTATAAGAGACCACATTTTCTATTTACTTAAATGGAATCAGAATATCATTATCCAGAGACCTGGAATATCTGGGATGTATGGGGCAGGATGTAAGGTCACCATGACAGGGCTGGCAGCATCTGGAGGCTTCAGCTCAAATCTGATGGTTACTTGGAAGCTGTGTTGGAAAGGATTCTGAGGTTGTGTCTGGGCACTTCCTGAGGAGTAAAAACTGGGCCATGAGTGATTTAGGCAAAGAGCACCAGAGTGAGGAACAAGCAAGGTAACTCCTTGGTTTTCTCCTCCAACGGTAAGTAGCATCCAGGGAACAGCTGGGCACTGCCCCTGATGCCAGTGCTTGGCATTGCTGAGGCAGGGATTGTAAACATACCTTTGCTGCAGTGGGAGAGTGGTGAGATTTAAACACCACTTACGCTGTGACAGAAAAAGACAACAGGCAGGAGAAGCCAGGGCTGGGTTAGAACTCCTTAAGTCAAGGCTCCTAGGCCCTCATGGAAGCTAGCGATACACCAGTGTCCACAAGAGCAATTCATGTAAAGCTTGAAGAAGAGGGAGTGTTTACTAAACTGTGCAATTGAAATGCCAGTTAAAATACGACAGTGTGTTTAAAAATGAGAAAGGGTGTGTGACGATGCATGTCTACTGGAGAAAGCAGTCTCGAGTGTGGCTACTTACATAGCTCTGTCTACAGCTCTTACATTGCAATTTGTAAAACCAAAGACTTTTAAGTCTACCTACACAGGATGTCTAATACTTGTTAATCTGTGATTCCTATAAACCATTTTTCCTGGTAAATACAGGTAGTGGAATGGGTCTTCTGGAGACCCTCACTTGTTACGATGACTGTGTTGCTGAAGGTATACAAAAACGTAGTTTTGGGAACGCAAGTCCAGAAGTCTGACCAAGAGTCTGTTACTCATGCTAAATCCTTATGAAGCATTATTTACCGCTTTTGGGTAAATCCAGATTTCCAGAAGCTGCATGGCTGCAAAGTGAGGTATGACTGTGGTCTGCTGAGTCTGCAGCTGTCGGATCAAGCTGGCTTCCCCTCTAGAAGCAGTACTTGGAAATTCTGAGGCCACTGTTCCCTGGTCATGTAAATATCACTGGGGACCCCAGTGAGGTGCACGTTGTGCCTGTGGTTGTGCATTAATCTCATACATGCCACTTAATATCTCTTCCACATTCAACATTTTGGCTTTTTCCTTCTCAGTGTGAAAAATTGCCCAGTTTTTCTTTTCATTTCAAAAAATTATATGAAGTACACTCAACCATATTTCAAATGGAAGTGAATATTCAAAAAATATATTTTATGACTTAAGTTAGTTGAAAATTTATTTGCATAAAAATGCCAGTATTTTCTCACAGAGCCCCTAGAAATAGACCACCTCTCAGGTAAGAATGGGTGGATGGCAGATGCACTACCAATCTCCGTGAAACAGACAGTAGATTCCAGACAGACCTGGGGAAGCGGGGCTGAAGACATGGCAGCATCAGGCCCCAATGGGGCAATGAGCCCTGAGCCTGTAGGTCTGAAAAGTAGGAGTAGAGAGTGCTCAGATGTAGAATTCTTCCATGTCATTGTCCCCAGATCCAGACAACACTGGGCCTGGTGGGATGTCTCTGCCAGTCTGCTCAGCCTTGGGAGAATGACAAGGGAGCTCTGGGGGTGTCTCTGTCAGTGAAGAGGCGCTGGAAGCTGGGGGATCAGCAACAGTTGTCGCCAAAGAGCTGTAAGGTCCTTTGGTGAAGAAAGGGAGGGACGCCCAGGAGGACTCTGTGCTCACCCTGCTCCCAGCAGGCAGCGGTCCTTCTCTGGAATCCCTGTGCTTTGACGAGAGGCTGGTGCACCTTTCGGTTGGGAGGGGCGCTTCCGTGGTGCTGCAGAACCTACTGGGTGCAGAATACGCAGAGACCACAGAGAGGTCTGAGGCAGATAGTCGCAGGCCTGTGTCTACATCTGTTTCCTGGGCTCCCTCTAAATCATCGATGGAGAGGGGGTGGCTGTGCCCCAACTCTGATGCCCTGTGCCCTGGGCTATCTGTGTTTGAAAACCACTGTGGTACAGCTGAGGAGGGATCTCCTGTAGGCAAACAAAACAAGGACTTGCTTCTCTGGAAAGACCAGGGAAGGCTGGGAGGGGCGCTGGCTTGTCTGGTCATTTCCTGCTGCTGCCCAGTAGGCAGACCCGTCTGGCTGAGCCCCAAATATGGACGGTTGTGCAGGGGCTGCTGGCCACTGCCAGGAGTGTTGCTCAGTAGGACAGCACCTGGAGAAGGCATGGAATGAGGTTTCTTCCCTGAGCAGTGGTGCCCTCTGCTGGGTTTAGGAAACTTCTGGTGTACCCTTTGTGCCTGTGGGGGAAGAGAGCACATATTGCATTAGCGCAGGACTGGGGGGCCACCCGGGGGTGTTAAATGCAACATGGAAGTTGCTTGCTGATACCTGGAGACTTCTAGCAGCTAATACGTTACCAGGAACTCTAAACCAAAGACACAGGGAGCAGAGTCCAGGGATACAATCCACAAACTTCTCAGTTGGAGACCACTGAGTCTAGGAGGAGAGGAGGCCCCTTGGCGCAGCTGGGAATAATCCTTCCAGGACACAGGGGCTCATCAGATTAGCAACAAGAGTGAGGTCGAGGCTGAGCATGACAGAGGAAATAAGAATGACCCTTTAATGCAAAAAGAAAGCTGGTATGGCTTGTTTCCCTTCAGCCAAAGCACCGGGGTTCTGGAGATGTCACTGATGAGAGGATGGACGCCATCAGGCTGGGCTGTGAGTGGGCCATTTCAGATCAGGTCAACCTCCCCCTGCAGTGCCCGCGTGGTCGCCATCCCGGGGCGCCGTGGTCAGGGCAGTACGCCTTTGCCCAGTGAGGGTCTGTCGGGGTCAGCTCTGGTTCACTTGCTCCTCTCTGTATTTTGCATTTCAGAAAAAGTACAGGAAAAGGAGCTGCTGACTGTGGACTGACTCTGCAGATGGCCTACTGGGGCTTGGAGGAGCAGTGTCACCCTCACCCGCTCACTGTCCTCTTCTCCCCCACCCTCCCTGCAGCACCAGGGCCCTGTTGCTACTGCATGGAACAGGGAAATTTTTTCCAATTCACATTTCCTCCTGGGTCTGCTGCTGATTGTCTACTTGGTCCAGCTTAGTGCCCAGCCTACCTTACTATGCAAATTTTCAATTAGCTAATGGACTTGGGGACAGAAGGTCTGGATCATCTAATTTATGCGTCCCTAAATAAGAGGTTCTGACTGAAGTTAAGGTGATATGGAAGCCAGCAGGCTGAGACACACACTGGACCTTTGTACACAACCAACAGCCAGCCTCTCTGTTAAACAGAAACAAACCACAGCTGCTTAGGGATTTTTAGTTCAATGCAATATATATTACGGTAATATATATTACGGTAATATATAATGTAATATATAATATATATTACCACTACAGATATTGGAGGGGAGACTTAATGAGGACTCAGTCTTTGACCATGGGAAACTTCTGTTTCATCCAAAGGATGGAAGACAAAGAGAATGACTCAGACAGGAGAATGCAATCAAGGGCTCTGAGGGAGACACGACGCTGGCTGGCTGAGCTGCAGGGGAGGTGAGAGGATTCACCAGAGACAGAGTGGGGAGCAGAACAGGTGGATCTACTGAAATACACTGCTGAGGGGAACAGAGGCAGAGACAGGAGAGGTCTGCTGTGCCCTGTGGGTCACCTCCCTGGCCGTTCGGGGATCGAACTTGTGTTGCAGTGGCTGGCGATAGCTTGATAGTGCTGTCTTTAACATCTGCGCCACCAGGGAGGCCCACTAATATAGATATTCAGGAATTTCTATGGGTCCTCTACCCAGCATACCCCATTCTCTTCTTAATCTTCAGTCCCCACACTCTGTGTGGGGGTGTGCATGTGTGTTTGTGCCTGTGACTTGCTGATCCTCTTGCTGCCCTTCTGTCTCTGCAGCATATTGAAATTCCCAAGTCACTCTAAGGGTGGAGTTTAAGGTGAAGAACCGCGATTAAGGACATTGCTGTCCTTAATTGTAACTGTCCTGAGTTACAGATCAACAAATATGATGGAAAATGCTTCTAGCACGGGTTGTAGCTGGGTATGGTGTGCTCCTGATAAAGATTATGCTCCACAAGGCATTCTCACTGTAAGACTTGAGTTTGGAGGGGTTCCAGATTGTGGGGGGCTCAGCAGAATATAAGGGAGGAAGGTTCTGAGTAGAGCTGGTTCCTTCCAGGCTGTGAGTTGCCCACCAGGGCTTGCTGCTGTGTTTCGGGCCCCTGACTTCAGCAGCCCTCTGGCTCTGTGCTGCACTGCTCTGCTCAGCGACCTGGCTTCCCCGCACACTCTGTGCTCCGCAAGCGCCACCCTGCTCAGCACACACTCTGCTCAGTGTGACACATAACAGGAGTTTCAGCATGAGTGAAGTCACACTTTCAGGGTGGGGTACAGAGCAACCTGAGAAGGCCCAGGTGTGCCTGATATAGGGGGTACTGTGATAAACCAATTTCTCAATCACTTGAGTTTGGCTAAATAAAAGAAAAAATACTGCCTGATGCTCTTTAGAGAAGAAAGTACTAAGTTATGGAGTTGCTTCCAGGAGAGCCTATGTTTATCAGTTAAAATTTCTCTTATTTTTCCCCAAAGCCCAATTTCCCTGGTGCCGGATAGGACTTTCTTACTTGGTGTGTGCTAGTGTGTGCTGCTCTCTAATTTCCGTCTTCAGAGTCTTATTTGGGAGCTTGTGCTCGGGCTAAATCTGCACCAAGGAGGAACCTCTGTGGGTGTGCTTCGTGAGAAGCATCAGGCTACGATCCCATGCAAGGAACTGCGAGGGGACAACTGAGTCTTCCCACTGTCAGGGCAGAGGAGAGTTAAAATGATTTCAAATCAGGCACAACTGGCAGAGGATGAATACTTGGTAGTTTTGCAGAAATTTTCATCACTGTACTTGTTTAAGTCACTCCCTGTGCTCTGTCTTATTTCTTACTAAATCATGCAGGTGGAGTACAGATAAATCCAAAATTCTGCTTTGAAGAAAGGTGATTTTTCACCTGGTCGTTTTCAACACAGGGGTGCCTATATGCACTGGGAGGTGCCTGCAGGTGGGGGGCATTCCAGCTGGCACAGTGCTGACTGGTAATAATGGCAGGATCTCGGGCGAGAACTGGAGAAGGATGCCCTTCGGGGACACGCCTGCTGCGGAGCTGGTGGTACTCTACAGCTCTGCAGCTCTGCCTGAGGCAGAAATGTCAGCTTCTGTGCCCTTCCCGGGTGGCTGTGTCTGGCTTCTGTGGTTGGTTTGTCTGACCTGACCAGGAACAACACTAGAGGCATGAATGAATCACTGTAGGTGTTTCAGGACATTCTTCCCAGGTGACCTTTCTAGAGTGAAACAACTCCCTGTACCCTCCTCCACGGGGAGACTCCCCTAGCACTCGGGGAATGAATCTGGAACTTCTCCAAGTGACAGCAGCAGTGTACCTTGGAGTCATTGGCTTCCTTTCCTTTTCTTGGAGGCACTGTAGCCTGGCTGACTCACTGGACTCCTCTTTCTCTAAGAAACAGAATAGCATTACATAAAGGAATGTGCTTAAGGCAACTAGCCAGGAGATCTGGGTTTCTCTCTGAAACTACGAGAAATTGAAAGGCAGTAGTGGACTCATGAGCAGCTTCTCCTGCAGCTTTGAGCACAGGCAGTTTGCAGCTGGGGTGGTAAAGTGGTCTGAGTCAGGGTCTTTGTTCCGGGGCACAGAGATCGCATTCTTAGTGAAGGGGGTTCCGCCCTGCCTCGCTGCTCCAGGCAGTGTCTCATGTTCACCTTCCTACCTCTTCTTTCTGAGAAAGACCATGTCCTCCTGCTCTGTCCTCGGCAGAAACATCACCAGCATGACACTGTGTGCTGTGCAACAAGCCAGCGATGGAACTTAGGAAAATTAGGAGCAGTCTCAAAGAAACTGGACAGTGGGTTCACATGACAATCAGACTTTGCTCTAAAGAAAAACATACTTCTCCTTTCACTGTTCTCTGGGTGGTTTTCATATGTCCACTGAAAGGCACACTTTTTTTTTTTTTTTTCCCTTTTAACCAAGGTATAATGAACATGTTAGCTTCAGGTGTATAACCTGATACTGCAAGTGATCACAATAAACCTAGTTAACCCTGTCACCACACTAGCCACAATTTTTTTCTTGTGATGAGAACTTTTAAGATCTACTCTTAGCAACTTTCAAATATGCCACACATACTGTACATCACATCTCCAGGACTTACTTATACATGCAAGCTTGCATCTTTGACCCTTTTCATCCATTTTGCCGACTCCACACCTCTCCAGCTCTAGCAACTATCAATTTATTCTCTGTACAGATGAGCATTTTTTCTTTCTGAGAGTCCACGTGTAAGTGAGGTAATGCTTGTCTTTCTCTGGCTTAGCATAATGCCCCCAAGGTCCACGCATGTTATCAAAAATGGCAGGATTTCCTTTCTTATGGCTGAATACTACTCTACTGAGTATATTTGCCACATTTTCTTTATCCGTTTCTGATGGACACTTGCTTCTAAGCTTTTAGAAATAATGTGTCAGTAGACATGATTGTGTAGATAATCTTTTGGACTTACTGTTTTCGTTATCTTTGGATAAACACCCTGAAGTGGGATTGCTATATCAGAGTATGGTCATTTATTTTTTGGGCCCTGTTGATTTTTCTCTTCTCCTTAAAATGCTCTTGTCTTGGTTTCTGTGTCAGCCTGCAACATCTCTGGTTGCTCCTTTCGCTACCTGTATGAATGTCTAGCCTCTTCTACTCAAGGGCTGTTGACATTCAAGATTTGATCTTTACTTCCTCACTCTTTAACTCACATCTCTGGAAGGAGCTAGGTGTGGCTACTGTTTCCTCCTGCCTAGCCTCACCACCATGGCTTATATGCCCTGACCTTTCCCTCCCCTCTCCCTCTCAACTGCAGAGCACTCAGTGTTGACTGATGTCCACTGACTTTTGAAAGGATTTTGTTATTGAATTGTCCACTGTGTGAATGTTAAGTATTTATTCTTATTGTTTTGACTTGCTTTACTACACACAGTTCTCTTAAACTCCTTCTATTTTGTTAAAAATGGTTGCATTTCATTTTTTTCTTATGGCTGCATAGTATTCCATAGAATAGATGTACACGTGATCCACTCGTCTATTGGTGTACATTCAGGAACTTTCATGTCCTATCTATTGTAAATAATACTGCTGTGAACACTGTGGAACATAGAGATTTTTGTGTTCATTAGCACAAAAATTTCATGTTCTTTGGATAGATACCTAAGAGTAGGATTGCTGGGTCAAATGGT